TCAACAAAATGAAAATAATAATTATTTAATATTTTTGAAATAGATTGAGATTTGTATTAGTTTTGGGAGGAGTAACTAGTCAGTCATCTTGAATTCTTGAACCCGAAGAAACAATTCATTGCATTGCTATGTTACTTTACTTCACCCAAGTGGCGCCACAGTAGCAATTGTTAAGTGCTAATCTAACAAACACCACTTTTCTTCTTTTTTACAATCTCATTCTTTCAGATTTCAAACACTCTTCTACCGGATCTGACTCGAACTCGAGAAATGGTATCCGCTTCCGATTTCGACGTGCTTCAACATCCAGATCGGTGCTGGCCAACTTCGCGGACTCCGAGGCTCGGTCCGAGCCGCCTCTCCAGTTTCCGCAGATCTCAATCCCACTCTTCTTCGTGGTTCCGAAGGAAACGAGCCAAACTGCTTCTGGCGCTTGTTGCCTCGCTCGCTTCATTTTTTTTGGTTAATTGGTTCATGCTTCTCCGCTTACAATATCAAAACGATGCACCGGATCCTATTCCCAAACCTACACTCCGTTCTTCCTCTGGTTCAATTTCCCTTCAGGTATGTGCCGTGTTTTATTACTATATGGAATAATTGAAATACTTTTAATTATCTGCCTCCGAACGAGTTTGTTCCAACATTTTCAGGGGAAATTGAACAACAAGATTGGAAGTAAGAAAAGATCTGAAAAGGGGAAGTACGGAAGAATGTTGGCATTGGCTGCACATGCCTTGGCTGAGGTAGACAGATAAATATCTATATTGCTAATTATAGAAGTAGTTATAGATGAGTAAGAGTAACTTTTGTAATGTGTGTAAATATGGTGAACTTTTGTTCATAAGTAGGTAAGAATAGATGAATGTGGTTATATATAATTAATTGGTATTCGTAGCACTATTGGATAATTATGAACTTGGCCAGCTAATGGATCTTTATAGGATAAAGCATAATTCTTCTTCCTTCTGGAAAATATTTTTCTTTTTTTTAGATTTAAAGCTTCAAATAGTTATATGTCATAAGGTAATACAGGGATTTCATATTATATATATAGCTGAGCAAGTTTTCGGTAACTCTGACTTGTTGTGCCCGATGGGACAGAATAAACGCGAGCCAAAAGATTTGTGGCAGGAACCTTTCGTTCCTGCTTCTGCTTGGAGACCTTGTGCCGATCAGCGGAATTGGGAACCTAATGGTATGTGTGGTTGAAGTTTAGCAATTGTTTATAGAATTTTATTAGAATGCACTAACAATGTATACTTGTATAGTAAGTTTGTTTACATTTATAGTAATTACTTTAAAAGTCATATTTGGTATGCTTTCTTATCTGATGACACATGAAAGTTAAACCCATTGTTTATACAATGTAAGTGTAAGTGTAACTACGAAAGGAAAAACATGTTCAAGGTGTTACTCACAGTCTTCTCTCTTATTTTGTGCTCCAATAGACGGAAAAAATGGATACATTGTGGTTACTGCGAATGGTGGGATCAATCAACAACGTGTAGCTGTAAGTTGTTAGACTGTTATGTTTTCATGTTGCTGCTTCTCAATTGATTGGGTTTTCAGTTTTCATTGATTTTAGTGTAGGAAACCTTACGTTTTACATTAAATGCTTTATGTTCGTTTTGATTTGCAACAGGTTTGTAATGCCGTTGTCGTGGCAAGGTTACTCAATTCAACTTTGGTTATCCCCAAATTTATGTACAGTAGTGTATGGAGAGATGTTAGGTAATCGTCTTATCTCTCGTTCTTCTCCTCTCACCTTGGCCTCCTACCCACATAAATCTTTCTCAGTTTGCTAATGTCTCATCTATTAGATATAAACAGCTACGAGCTTTATGAATAATTTTGAGCAACAGGTTGAATACGTAACTTAATAGTTTGCTGTTTTGAATGTTATTTTACTTCTCATGTATCTATGGGGGCAAAATGGCATAAATTATTAGGATTTATAGGTTTAGCTTTTTCTTGGATAATTCCAATGCCACATTTCCCGTCCATGGGCCTTCTTTCTTGACGTTGAGACTTTGTCAACATAACTTATATTGCTTATTGTATAATTTCATAGTCAATTCAGCGATATCTATCAGGAGGAGCATTTTATCAACTACTTGACTCCTGATATTCGGATAGTGAAGGAACTTCCGGAGGAGCTACAATCTTTGGACTTGGAGGCAATCAGGAGTGTTGTAAGTTACAGCCTAGCCCCTCAAGGAAACTGATTAAACTTGACTATTTTTGTTGTATTTGTTTTTAATTATTGGTTTCCAGGTGACAGATGTTGACATGGAGAAGGAGGCTAAGCCAAGTTTTTACCTGAAACGCATCTTACCTATTATACTTAAAAATCAAGTTGTTCACTTTGTTGGATTTGGGAATCGCTTGGCATTTGATCCAATCGCATTTGAGCTGCAGGTGAACGATCTTTGAAGCATAAAATATACAATATAATTTACATGATCTCAAGCCCTTTCATGCTCTGTTTTTACTCTCTTTCTTGATCTGAATCGATATTATGCTCTTCCTAATTGGGGAACTTCATATAGAGACTTCGTTGCAGATGTAATTTTCATGCCCTGCAATTTGTTCCCAGAATACAAGAAACTGGCGCTTTGCTTCTTAAAAGATTGCGTGAAGATTCAGGTACCTTTGGACCATTGGACCATTATCTTGTTGGTCCATTTGCAGAATCAATTAAGAAGAAAAGTGAAAATAATACCAAGAAACCATCCAAATACCTAGCTTTGCACCTCAGATTTGAAATTGACATGGTAGCTCATTCTTTATGTGAATTTGGGGGAGGTGAAGAAGAGAGGAAAGAATTGGAAGCATATCGTGAGATCCATTTTCCTGCTTTGTCACTGCTGAAGAGGACTACAAAGTATGCATCATAATCTTTCCATCTGAAACTTTCCCTCCTTATGCCATGGTTGGAAAAACATGGTCTTTATACCTTTTAGACAGCAATTTCAGTTTATGAAGAAAAGAGGCTTACTCATTAAAAACAATTGAAATCTTCTATGCAGATTACCTTCTCCTTCTGAGCTCAGGTCTGAAGGCCTATGTCCTTTGACACCTGAAGAATCCATCCTTATGCTTGCTGCTCTTGGTTTCAATCGCAAAACACAAATATTCATAGCTGGTTCTGATTTGTATGGAGGTCGCTCACGATTGGTTGCTTTGACCAGCTTGTACCCTAAATTAGTCACCAAAGAGAACTTGCTTTCTTCAACTGAACTTGAACCATTTGCTAATTATTCCTCTCAGGTTTGTTACTAACATGTTTTGTTTCATTTACATTAATCATGTTACAAATAGAATTATGTTCCTAGCAAGAAATTTTGTTTTGCTCTTTACATTGCTCTTCATATTAATTATTCAATTTTGGGCATTATTTTAGTGTGGATGCATGCACTGTCTCTCTCGCTCGATCTCTCCACGTTCTGTACCTCATACTAATTATTCAAATTTTGGCATTATCTGAGCGTGGAAATTTGCTGTATCTCTCTCAATACATATAATGCATATTTTGACATCATTTGAGCGTTGAAACCTTCTCCATTTCTCATGTTGTGAACATAATTACTGAAAAGAACACTGAATTTGTTTTGGTTCTACTGTTAATCTTTTAATGAATGACAATATGCTATCTCTGTTGTAGTTAGCAGCACTAGACTTCATAGGCTGCACTGCTTCGGATGCTTTTGCCATGACTGATTCTGGAAGTCAGCTATCATCTTTGGTGTCTGGGTTTCGAATATATTATGGTGGCGGAAGAATGCCAACAATACGTCCAAATAAACGAAGGCTAGCTAGCATATTTACCAAGAACTCCACCATAGAGTGGCGAGTTTTTGAACAGAGAGTGAGGAAAGCAGTTAGGCAAACCAAACATGTACAGACAAGACCAAAGGCAAGAAGTGTTTACAGGTATCCTAGGTGTAAAGAATGTATGTGCAGGACAGATTGATTATTTTCATTATCTTGACTGTAATAACCCATTAATTGTAACTGTAATTTGTTACATTTTTTTATCATTATTCCCATTCAATTTTTTAACCTCTGCCAGAATAAATTTTTCCGCCATTATAACGTTACTTCCATTGGTTTTGGTCTCAGACGACAAAGAGAACTTAGTTGTCTCTTAAGCAAACATTATGCCGGTCTGGTTACAAAAGCCGAGAATTCACATATTTTGCGATTAATGGACCGGTTTAATCTATAAGCATATCTTCAATGTGGTTGCTTGCTAAGTTTATTAAATTACTTATGCAAAGCAAACACAGTCGTTTATGTAAGCAACCGTTGTCTACATTCTTTTATGCCATGATAGATATATTGGTAGAGTAAATATTTTAAACATTAGCAAGTAATTTAATTATAGGACCATAAAATTTAATTAAGCACTTACATTAACAATTTTGACATTAGATTGACTATACATTGTGGATGCTTCTAGGCAAGAATGTCTAACAATGTTGCATAAAGACTTACAATTAATTTTATATTAATGTTATAAAATAACATATACTTTCATATTATAAATACATTGTTTCAACATATATTGTTAAAAATAAAAACATGATTTATAATAAAATATTGTGATCGAGTTTTTAATTAGAAAGTTGTGATTGTTGTATGATTTTTTTGAAAGACAATTTTCAAAGTAAACTCAATAATTGCAACAAGTTGAGAAGTAAGTTATGACTTGTGAAAAAACTGTGAAACAGCTGTTTTAAAAAAAGAAAACTTCTGATGTAACAAAGATTAATTAGAATATGGTAACAGTTTATTACATTATTATTATATAATTAAAGTTTATCAACTTTTTGTAACAATTTATTTTAAAGTTCATGGTTAATATGATTTCTAATAAGTTTAAAGTGCAAAATTCTCTACGTCGACATAATATTAAAATTAAACTGAAAAAATTGTAACATTTTGGGAAATAATGTTCCTATTTAGATAGATTGGACATACTGCAGAACCGATCTTTATTACACTGAAACTGCCAAGACTGACAATGTTATTCGTACAATGTGGTTTAAATTTCCTGTCAGAACAATTTCACCAAAGGTAAAATTCTGCTTTGGTTGGACGACGCTGAATTGTATTTCCAGATCTTGCGTTCCTTGTGGACTAATGGTAAACCAAGTTGGACGCAGGTAGACTTTAGTTCCATTTGGAGGGACAACAGAGCCCAAGTATGTCTCTGTGGTGTTCCCAACATTCATGAAAGTTCTTCGGACAGAAACTGATCCTCTTAGTGCAGATAATGAAATTGAAGGAAGGTTTAGACTGAATGGATTGGCAAATGGGTGATTGCATTGCTCTCCAGTAGCTGCAATGACTGCATCCGTGCTTATGTTTGGCAAAGAGCACAGGAAACCGATGAAGTCTACATATTCTGTTTTAGGACCAATGAAAATATTTTAGGTTGCTTTGAGTAAAAGAACTAAGCTGATAAAGCATTGAATTCTCTGGCTCTGCCACTAAACCAGTAATTACGTACCTGATGACAGTACCAAACCAGGATCAATGGCACGGTTGGGGTTCACAAAGCCTGCCCCATAGTCAAAAGGAGTGGAGGGAAGCAAGCTGTTGATCTCAGAGCCTTCTGCCATCATAGGCTCTCCAAGATTATCATACTTTGAGCTTGTTGTGGTGATCGCAGATGCTATCATGGATGGCGTCCATAATGGATTGTAATGCTTGATCAGTGCTGCTATTCCAGCCACATGAGGTGTGGACATGCTGGTACCAGATAACAATGCGAAAGTGTGCCCTGTTGAGTTTGTAGCAAAAGAGAGTTAAATAAAATTTGATGTCAACTGACTTTGTTTTTTTGCAGTACTGATTGGACCCTAGGATCAACATACTCTTTCTAATACATTATCTACTAATAGTTCAATTTATTACAAGCAACAGAATCAGGAGTAATACTTCTTAAAAGAAAAGACACACAATTTTGTAATATCCAATATATTTTAACTACAATAAGAGTTTGTTCAAAAGATCAGAGTGTGTTGCGTTTCTCTTGCATCGAAGATGCTAGGAGTACCTTAAGAGATGAGGAAGGGAGAGGCTTATGAATGTAACCGGAGAGAATAACCTGTGTGCTTTTTAGATACAATTCAGCCTGTATGGAAAGAAGAAGAGAAAGGTACCTTTGAGCATAGGTTCTGCGGCGCTGATGGGGCTCCAGGCTGCCCATATTTGGTGCCCTGGAGCAAGAATATCAGGTTTAAGTACATCTGCAAGATTTTTGTGGATGTCAATGATATCTGGACCCCTTGAAGAAAATCTACTGACTACTGGCGATCTCCCTGTGAAAGAAGCAAGTCGTCCTTCTCCCACAGCTGCCAAAGCAGCAAATTCTGCGCCAGTTCCTTTCTCATCCCTCTTTGTCAGTTGTTCATAGTACTGTAATATAACCTACATTTTCAAGAAGCCTTTTACTTATCTGATTGCTAAGATTCAGTTACATAAATGATAGTAATAAAATTAAGACCTCCCTTTTGTACCTTGGCATCATCTACACGAGGGATCATAATACCAGACACAGCAAAAGGAATTGCCTCTGCAATATAATCACCATAGTTTGGGTTCGCTACTAAAACAAAGCCCTCCATTCCTAGAGTCTTCGCGGTGTCAATAATACCAGCAAGAGTTGAGGTCCCATTATAGAAGCCAGCTGAGAAGGTGCAGATAATGATACTTCCCGACACTCTATTAGGGTCCAAAACTTCTGGATGTTGGCACTCCTCTATGTACTCCGGAGTCTTTGGACTTGTTCCATTTATTTTTACTGCATCCTTAGCCAAAACAAGCTTATGCCAAACTGATCCATTTCCAAAACTTGGTCCTGTAGGTGAGAATATTCTCATACATTAAGATCATTTGGAGCACTAGATATGGACAAAATATAGTTGAGAAACAGAAGTACCTGATAGTCCCACGCCATTAAGTATTGAGCCATTTCCAAGAAGAAGTGAAGAAGGGTACCCTCTGTTTGTGGTGCTAGCGGCAACACTGAGACTCCAGGGATTGAACGACACTACACTTGAAGATGCGGGACCGTTGTTTCCTGCAGCTTGCACCACGAAAACTCCTGCTTTTCGTGCAAACAACAAAGAAATATCAAATATGCTTAAGAAGGTTAACGTGTCTTCTGGTGGTTCATTTGGTCCCACAGATAGTGATAAGATATCCACCCCATCCAGGACAGCCTGCGGAAATCAAACAAACGATCCGAGTTGCTATTCTTTTATGAAGTAGTCAAATTCTTGAAGTGTGTCAGGTGATAGTTTATGTGAATTGGAGAAAACATGAAGAGATATTAATATAATGTAGTTATAAGTGAATGTTAGGAAAATTTTCAATCCCACCGAGAATCCTTAGTTATATATCTATCTAGTCTAAATGCAATAAATAGATAGCTAGGCATTTTCTCTGTGCCATTCAACTTAGAAATGATGATATAATATTATGGAATAATTTTAGATGCTTGAAGGATCTAATCCTTTGTGAATGGAAGTGACGCTTACCGAATCGATCGCAGCAATAACATCTGCTAGAGTTCCCACGGAGGGATACACAGCCTTATAAACAGCAATCCTGCAAAAGACGTCATCATACATAATTTTGAGGTTAATGTTCTACATAAACCTCCCATGTAGGTGGGTTATATTAGACCAACTTAAAAACAAAAGAAAGAAAGAAGGGTCAGAAACAATAAATTTTCATTTCGATAACTGTCTCCTACACATAATGTGATATCCTGATAAACATAGAATATACGATTACAAATACCGTATCATGCCATGATTCTACATGATTAATTTTTTCCATATTTAGCTTGGCATGACAGCGATGCACAGTGATGCACATTAATGTCATATCTGTTAATAGACAAATTTAGGATACCGACTATAATGGTTAGCGTAATTATAGCCTAGAATGTTTCTGTATTTCATGTATATATTGTGCTATCATATTCAATACAAGACAAGGGTTTTTGGAAATATTTTTATCATGGTATCAGAGCGAACCAAACTCTGATATCCAACAGCCCGAGAACACAGTCGTACTTCTAAAATGGCAGAGAGAGGAGAGGCGGTGAAGAAAACACCATCGCCATACGATCCGAGTGCCGTTGATAATCCCGGAAATGTGATTACACGGTACAATTACGAGGAGAGAATTACGAGGAATGGGCAAGGGCCGTGAAGATATCTCTCGCGGCTCGAAGGAAATGGGGTTTCATAGATGGAACTCATAAGGAACCCGAAGAAGACACATCCGAGATAGAAGATTGGTGGACAATTCAATCGATGCTTGTATCTTGGATACTAAACACTATAGAACCTAGTTTGCGTTCCACCGTTGCATACATGGAAAACGCAAAGGACCTATGGGATGACATCAAGGAACGATTCTCGATCGTGAACGGACCAAGAATCCAAGAGACTAAAGTCGAGTTGGCGTAATGCAAACAACAAGGAATGACTATGGTTTCCTATTATGGGAAGTTGAAAACGCTGTGGGAAGAACTCGGCAAATTACGAGCAAATCCCACAAGGTAGATGTGGGGGATGCAAGTGTAATATTATGACGCAACTTGAGAAACGAAGAGAAGAAGAAAAAATTCATCGCTCTTGATGGGGCTAGATGATGAGGGCTATGGAACCGCACGGTCAAATGTTTTGGCAACAGCATCCATTACCCTCGTTGAATCGGGTGTATGGCACCATGGTGCAAGAAGAAAGGGTGAGAACAATCACCAGTGTCTAAAGAAGAGCGAGGAATGATCGTGGGAATGGCTATGCGAGCGAAAACCAGGAACAAGTTGCGCAATGAAGCGAAAGAAAAATCAGCTTGTTTGCATGCAGTGTGGAAGGAAGGGACATGACAAAGGCAATTGCTTCAAGATCATTGGTTACCCGTAATGGTGGGGAGAGAGACCACGAACCGATAGAAACGATGAAAAAAATCAACAAAGAACAGAACCTTCCGAGGAAAAGGAGGAACGGCTCGCGTCAATATGGCGCACACCGGTGCGGATAACGTTGGTTCAACCGAAAAACCGAAGTCGCAGGATCGAGTAATGAGCAATGGCAGATCTTGACAAAGAATGTTGAATTCTCGCAAGGCAAATGAAACTCGAAAAGATGACTCGGTAAGAAAGCATGTGACTTGTGGATTATTGATAGTGGCGCCTCTAATCATATGACAGAACACTAGAAAACTTGAGGGAGAGTCGAGCCTTGGAAGGGTGCCCAGTGGGACTACCAAATGGTGAATTGGTGCTGGCAAACAAAGAATGATCGGTTTTCCTTGATGGAGGACTGAAACTTAAACATGTTCTATATGTTCCGAAATTGAATTGCAATTTGATTTCAGTATCACAATTGACGAATGAAGTAAAATGTACAGTACATTTTACTGATAGATTTTGTGCAATGCAGGACCACACTTCGAGGATGCTGATTGGTGCGGTGAACGTGGTTTTTGTATATATTGTGCTATCATATTCAATACAAGACAGGGATTTTTGGAAATATTTTTATCATATCCCAAAACAACCAAATACCCACAAAACAAAATCAGAAAGCTCACCTTGCACCTGGTGCCATTCCACTAGCTTTCCCATAGCAAAAACTGTTCACCACAACAGGAACACCAGCATTTCCAGCAGCAATAGATGCCACATGACTGAAACCAATTAAATTAGCCATAGCAAGACACATCTTAATATGACTGTAACTTACAAGAGAGGGAAACGAGTTTAATGTTGTGCGAGTTGATAACAATTAATTAATATATATACCTGCCATGTCCATCTGCATCAAACGGTGAAAGAAAATCCTTGGAAGGATCGAGGTTAGCAGCAGCTTTAGCCCCAGCAGAGAAGTACCTGGCTGCTACTATCTTTCCATTGCAAGAACTAGGAGGGAAGAGAGGACCCGTCTCACAGGCACCCCCAAAATGAGAGAGATTTGATGTGAAAGGTTGCATGGGATCGTAAGCAAAGCTGGGATGAAAAGGGTTGATGCCACTATCAATAAAACCAATGACAACTCCATCACCTGCTCTTGTATCTCCTCCTTCTTGTGCCCATATTCCCTTTGGTAAGTTTAGAAACTCAGGTGTGTATGTTGTCATCATTTTCACTCCTCTGTCTTTCTCTACAAACTTAACTCTTGGGCTACCTCTTAGTCTTTCAGCCTGAAAAGTTTTGTCACCACCCCCATGCACACGTAAATAAGAACGAATGGACACATATTTACATTTATATACACGAAAAGATGAAGGTAAATAAATGGCCAGCATATTGTGTCCATGATTATTTTTACTCATTTTTGTTTCTAAAAAATTGGTTCTTTGATTACTTTATTGTATTAAATTGATAAACTTGATGACAAATAATAAGTGGAAAATAAATCATATCATGCAGTATTATTATCTCAACCAAAATTAACACTTTAAGCAAAAAATTATGGAATAAGTAATTTAGTTAAACAGAAATATGTAAGAGATAAAACTTAAAACTGAAATTAACAAATAGATAAAGGACACAAATATATTTTATGTTAAATAAAATAGAAGAGGACCTGGGAAGGGGTTGTGTGGACAGAAAAGCCATTGATGATGTGTTTGTAACTGTGGAGTTTACTGTAACTTCCAGTCTCCAACGTACTTTGCAGAAATAGATCATGAAATGACAGTAAGTGCTTTGCATGTGCCTTTGAGACTTCCCTGATTAGCCATACAGACCAGAAAAAGCAACAACAGCATGGTCAGGTTTGTTGATCTAAAGAATCAATGATTGAAGAATGGATAATTAATATTACATAGGTCCATTGGAACCAATGTCTTCATAAAGCAAATTATCATTTATCAGCATAATTTGACTGTAATTAAGGATTATTTATGTAGCTGAAGAACCACCAACCACTTTGGACTCTGATTCAAACCATTATTAGTTTGAATTTTTAACATTATCACCACATCATAAATTATTATTATATATGGTAATATAAATATTATTTACATTATCACCCAATCATAAATTATTATTATTATTATTATTATTATTATATATATAATAAATTTGCTAACTTATATGATAGTTATATCCTAAAAATCATATCATTAGTGTTTTTTATTAGATAATAGTTTAAAATTTTCTAGAGCTTCGTAAAACTCTTTGGTAACTAATAGGAAACGATTTTTATTTTTTAAGTTTATTTTGAAAATAATATTCTTTAGTGAAAAACACTTTTTTAGCAACATTTTTTTAAAAATTATTTATTTATATGAAAAAAATTAAAATAACAAAATGATAATATTTAAAACTACTAGAAAAAGTACATTTCTTTAAGTAAAATTTTTAAATATAAATAAAATATTAAAATTATAAATATACTTATAAATAAGACAAAAATATAACCTTTAGATTTTAGAGAAAATAAGATTTAAAAAAAATAAATCATTTAAAATATTAGCAACTGAGCTTTTGAAATTTTTATAAAAGATAAAATATAAAATTATTTTGAGAAATTAATATTTTTAAAATTTTAAATAATAAAAAATAATAATATCAAGATGTAATAAATATACATAAAAAGGTGTTAACCAATTAATTATTTACAATATTTATAAATAACTAATTGTTCGACTTTTTAAATATATATATATATATATATATATATATATATATATATAAAGTGTTGAACAATTAATATTTAACTGACATAAACATTTATAAATATTTGATAATTTTTTTAATATATTGTATATATATTAAAACATTATATATAATAATAATAATAATAATAATAATAATAATAATAATAATAATAAGTGTCAAACAATCAATAGCTGACATAAACATTTGTAAAATAACCAATAATTTGATGTGCTAATAAATATTTACTAATAAGTGTTAAACAATTAATAATGGACATAAACATCTATAAAATAACTATAACAATGTGTTGTATTAATAAATATATAAAATGATAGTTTTTAAAGAAATATTAAAGTCATGTATGAGAAGAAAATGAGTATAATAAATTATCTTTACATTAAAAAATAAAATTCAAATATAATATAACATATATAAAAGATAACACACATTTCAAATAAAAATCTTTTCCACTGCATGAACTATTTTCTCCAATATCTTTTATCCCTTGAAATAAAAAAGAAGAAGTTAGAGCATTAATCTATCAGCCCTGAAGAGACAGTGGTGTGGGGTGAGAGTTTGAAGTGTTCATATATACACAATAGGCTAGCATACTATACAAACCTGTTGGGGTGCAGTGTTGATGAAAGTTGGTCCATGGAAGCTTCTTCATGAAAAGCAAGAGCTACTCCTTCCATTAAGACCAAGTATATATGACGTTCTTCTTGAACTAAGCAAGTTATGGCAGCAGCCAACAACATGGAAATGAGAATGCCTGCTACGACTGGTAAAGCCATGGAAGCAACGATTACTTTGGCCATTGTTGGAACAGCTAGATCTGAGTGCAGCCAGAGTTGTTTAAACCTTCGATCTTCGAATGATGAATGGCATTGATTCTTATACACGTTGCAACCTCACTGTAAACGTGAACGTAAATTTCAGTTTGGCACTGTAAGCAAATTTAGCATGGCTTAGTCCAACCGTTACTATCTTTTATTCAAAGTTCGTTGGGAGAGTATTGATTACTATACCTTTTACGTAAATTGCATGTGCTTTCACGTTAGCCACGCAAATAAACAAACACATACAAAACTTTAGTCCTGAAAACAGGACATCCTCGTCAATTAGTTGGTTCAATTCAGAACAATTTGTTTCAAAAGTGTTTTTGTAGCCTCTCTTTTCCTTTTTTTATGTTTTTTTCGGGAGTTTTAAGAGTTCAATTATTTTTTGTTTTACTTTTGTATTCATTGCCAGTTACCTTGCTAGAAGTAAAGTCTGTGATGAGCTGTGGAGGGTAAAGTTCTCACTCCCACGTGATATAGTGATTTGGATTAAAAAATATTTTTGTGAAAAATTCCTTTTAAAAACAAAGAATTTTATCTAGTTTTTTTTTTCTGACAAATTATATTAGATATATAAATTTAAATTTAGTTTATATAGAATGGTGACAAGGCCAGAATGATGACAAACTATGAAAACTAAAATTTATCAAATAAATATATAAACATAAAATTTCATGTGAATTTTTCATATGTGTTTTTCAAAATTATGAGAACATATAATAGAAAACATATTTGCATAAAAGATAAATAAATAAAAAAACTATTATTAAAGTGTAAATATAAATAATTTTTAAGATTTTATGAAAAAAAAAAACAACAACGTTGTTTACCTTAAAATTTGAAGATTTTACTTTCTTTCTCTTAATAATTCATCTTGGAAATTAAAAAATTAACACAAACCGCGTTAAACAGTATTCTTTAAACAGAAAATCAATGAGTCAATTTAATTATGTTGAAAAGATTAAAAATATTATTACTATTTATTTACTTATTTTCAAAATCAATAAATTTATGTCTTTTATTTAAATATTTTTAAATATAAATATTAAAGTTAGACTGTACGTTAATAACTTTACATTTTAAGTTAAAGTTAGTTTATTTTAAAAAATTAGAGACAAAGATGAAACACAGTACAACAAAAGTAATAAATAATTAAGAATGTTAACCACACAAAAATAAAATATTAATTTGAAATGATTGAGAGAATTTTTTACCTGAGACATATTTTGTAGTAATTACCTGAGAGAAAGTAAGTCTAATTCTGACCCGTGAATTCTCTGAGTCTTTTCTATATAAATTAAAAAATTATATGTAGCGAAAATGTTTTCAAGTTATTATTTAATGAGAACTTTTTAACAACTTTTTTGCCCATCAAAAATATTATTAACAGTTTTCGTACACCTCTTTAATATATTTTTTCATCATCATTTCTAATTAAATTTAGTATTTTAAAATAATTAATTAATAATTGAAAATAAATTTTTATTATAATATAATTTATATATACATATTTATTATAAAAAATACTTGTATAAAATACACATATTTATATCGTAAGTTATATAAACTAAAATACTAGCTGTTTATTATAAATTATAGAATGAGAGTAAATTTATTATTTTATTTTTTTAACTTTTTTCTTATCTCTATTTATTCGTTATTGTATTTATGTATGTGATACATTCTTTTATTCTTTATCTTATAATCTTACTTCTCTGGGGTAAGCTTGACATTTTTAGTAATAAAAAAATGTTTATAATATTTGACATAATACAATTTGCATTGGAATTATTTATTCAGTCCTATATTTTTTACTATTGAGATGGCAAAGAACAGCTACAATATGAATTTTATGAAAAAAAAAAAACACTCTTATAAGATGTTACATTAACAGAGTTAAATCTTAGTATATCTTTTATAATTTCATTTTCACGTTTCTCTTTTGTTTTGTCATTCTTTTCTTGACATCTTTCTTTTATAATAGGTTTAATTCATGGTTTGTTTAAGTTCCTCTAATTTGCCTTTCTTTTCATTCTATGTAAAATAAGCATTTGTTTATTTATTTACATTTTATTATATTTATTACTTTAAATATTTAGAATTCTCTAACATTATTTTGTATTTTAAAGTTACCAACCAAACATCTCCCGAAATTATTTTGGTTAAAATTAAAGAAATGAAGCTGTTAAATTTAAATGTCACATTATACCGTTATAATAAAGATAAAATTTTATATATAAAAACGTTAAAACCGTTTCATAAAATTTGTGAATTACTTTATTTATATTATAAAAGTTTTACAATATATATATATATATATTCAATGTAAAAGGTTTGCATTATTACCCAATAATAAAAAACTTATTCATTTTATATATATTTCCGTTCGATAACATAAAAATGCAATATAATAACTTGACTAAATTATAATTTTTTGTTTTTTAATTTCATATAAGTATACTTTAATTAATTAAACTGTTTTTTCTGATATTTTAAACAAATATATTAGGTCTGGGTTCAGTTGGATCAACATAAAATATATACAAAATTAATAATTAGATTATTTTTGTTTTAATCTAAAGACTAAAATAACATCATGAATCGGAAACTAAATTATTAAACTCCAACTTTATCCTAACAAATTAATATAATAATATGCATGACAGAAAATATTCAACTCAATTTTTAAGTATTTTATTTTATTTTATTATATTATATTATATTATATATATATATATATATATATATATATTTATTTATTTATTGTGTAATTAAATTATTATTTAAAGTATAAATATATGTCTTTAATTATACGTGGATCACATTAATTCTCAAACGACTAATTTGATTTTTTAAAAGATAATACAGCACCTGAAAAGGTTGTTGTGTGATGAAAAAAAATCATGGAAACTAGTTTTTCTTTTCTATTTATTTAAATAATTTACATTCTGAAACCTTCTCTAATGTTTTGGTGGCTACCCAACCTGCGATATTTTTGTAGTTTAAAGCTAAAGACTCTGGATTGACAAGCCTTTTCTGTATGTTTAATTATTTTTTAATGTTTTATCATAGTTTCCTCTTCTTTGAGGTAGTTTCATGTTACGCTTGTTTATATCATAATATTCACTTTATTTAAAATCTTTTCTGGCTAGTTAATGTGAAGGACTAGTTGGTATGCCAGAGATGAAAAATAATCAGACAAATATATTGGCCACATCGAATGCGTATACTCTCTTGGTAGTTTACATAAAAAATTCCTTTAATAATACAATTAACACAAGGGGGTGTGTGTAAAAACAAGCACCTGGCCCAGAAGTAACTTCTTTGAAACAATTTATATGAAGCCTACGTTTCTTATTAAATTTTATCGCGGCGTATAATTCAACAAATTATTCAATGGAATCATACTTCTAACCTAATATATATTTGAGTGGTGATATTTTGTATGGATTTAGATTGTCAAAATATCATTTTCCTATATATTTTACTGCCAGACATGCACTTTATGCTTGAAAAAATGAATTACTAAATTGAAAAAATGAATTACTAAATTACAAAGTAGACTTCATTTCCATTTAACAATAAAAGGGCGTGCAAAAGGTAAATCCTTTTTATGATTAACATCAGACACATCATTTACTGTGTAAATATGGTTACTAATCAAAGTAACATACTTATTATATATGAATGCCTTGCATTTTGACACAATACATAATTTAGGTCACACAAAAGCACCGAAACGTTTCTTAGAGCATTGTGTGGTGGGAGAGATCCATGGGAAAGGGATTGCCCAGAACATTTTCCATGTAGTAGTGTGGATGGCTTGGATCCACCACCACGAATTGCATGTCCTCTGAAGGCTTCCAGTGCCGTTTCCTTTGATTAATAAACCAGTTGTTAATTTGCTTCTGATCCAGCCCTGTTGACTCTGCAAGAGCCAGCTTCTGAGATTCCTGTTCATGCATGAAGTTAAACATGGACAAAAGGCATTGTAAATTGTAAATTACTTCCCCAACAACAGCAATAACATGTTTCACACATAACTGAAACTAAAGAATTATTAGATGCAACATACAGATGGGTAAGGCCATTTGTAGTGTCTGCTCCACCAATCAAGTAATTGTTGCCTTGCTTCTTTGGGCAACTTGCCCTTTTTTCTCTTCTTGGTGAACTCCTGCTTCAAACTACCTAGGTATCCTCGGTACTTGCGCAAGAGTTGACCTTTCAGTTCTTGGTCTTCTGCCTGTGGATCTATTATGTTGTTGTGAACATCAATATCTTCAGATGATCCATTCCTATCAGCACCTTCATTACAAGCTGTGATCAAATGAATCAGAAAACAAAAGAAGTAGGCGATAATGCTTATATTGCTTAGAAAGAATAGGCTAATTCAATATAAAATGAATTTTCTCTTCTGGAAATTAAAATGCAGGCCATGACTGGAAAAGGGCATTGAAGAAATCGATCTTCTGTTTGATGTAAAACGTTCACAACACACTCGAACACCAGAAATTATGATGGTCTTAGATCACCGCCTGTCTTACGATCTACACCAAGATAAAATAATTAACAATATTTAATTACCTTGTCACTTAGATATTATTTGACACCACAGACAAGTTATCCGGAACCACCTCATAATTTCTCAACTAACAAACTCTTCACAAAAACTGAACACATAATTAAAAACTACAAAATAACGAGAGACTCAAGTACAAGGTGAGACAAATTAAATGTCATGCTTCTAGTAAATCTCAGTAAAATATGTTATTGACATTATGAAGTTATTGTTAACTGTAACTTTCCATGACAAACAAATTTATATCACTATTAAAAGCTTAATTGAAAAAAGATAGGATATATGTTCACATCAAAACACCACCTTGTACTCCTCTTTCGGGCAGATTTTGATTGCACTGGGACGTACAATTAGATAAAGGATGACTAACACTACATCTACATTAATTAGGAAATAAAGAATGACGAACAAAAACGAGAATTTTGAATGATCCAATCAGAATGAATCTAATGTCTATACGCAACCATATTAATAATAAGACAGCGACTCCATCAATACCTTCAGACAGTATATACCTAAACCCAATAATGTTAGAAAAGAGGATTATACTAGTTTTAAGTGTACTTGTGCCTACTTCAACGATTTAACTTGTGTAAGCCTACTTTATCATCATACTAAACCTTATCATGCCAAAAGGAATTTCTTTCTTTACAGAAACGACACATATGAGGCCACTGTAAATACAGAGAAAACGGGTACAAATTTAGTTACTTCAAAAAAGATCATAATTAAAGTAAAACAATACACAGTAATCATGGTCATATTTTTCAAAAATCACATGCAACAATCTTCATACAGCCACGTTCTTGGAGGGGCCAAGCCATTGCCATTAGTCATTGAAGAATTAAAACCATCAAGAAATTAAGAGCAACAAGAGAAGTAATAATAACAATAATAATTGAATCCACTGAAAAAACTTAACTGTTAAACACCTAGAAAAAGAAATTGCCGAGGGACCCTCTACCCAGAATAAACCCCTTAATTGAAACTCGTGATGAACTACTAAATAACTGGGGACCAGGAACATGAAGATTTGATCCTCTACACTAACAGAAGAACATGCACCTCTTCAGGCTCATACATGAATGGATCGATGTTTGAGATAGCTCGGTCATAATCATATCCAAGGCAATAGACGAAAGTTTCCGACTATTATTCACTATAGTCATCAACGCTCAAGCAGCAAAGTTTGACAAATATCGATGGTTGTCACATTCAAATGCTAATTTCAATCTGCAATGTTAGCACCTTGTAGATGAACATAGCAAGTGGCCCTCCATTTCCAGTTATAGACAAACAAATGTGTAGTATTATCATATCAAATACACAATTCTAGTAAGCACCGCAATATGCACTGCACCTTTGTACACAAACACATGATAAATAATGACAATAGGCATAGATACAATAAGTCTGAGAATAACAATGGCCACTCAACTAAAACGCATGCATTTATCAGTATGTGAACTATTTCAAGTTACTTAAGTAAAATCATGAATTGTTATGCAACAATATGATGGTAAATAGCTGAAACTACTTATTTTGGTTGATAAAATGCAGTGTAAAATGCCATTTGTAATATAATATTTTATATTATCGAACATTGTTTGCTTCAAGGGCCTCTTTAAAGCCATTTTTGTTTGACTGCACTGACCATTTGACGTTTCAAAAGGACAAAATTACGAACAACCTCGCAATTAACACTCCTGACTCTTTTGAGCACCAGTTTGAAGAAACCCTAGACACTCTCCACTAAATCAAATTCACATTCCAGCTGCCACTCCCTCTATCGTTGGATTCACTTTATGCATAAGGTTTCTTCACATTCAGATGCAAAATCAAACAACAGCGGAGTAGAGAGAGCAGTAAAATCAAATAGGGAAACACTCAGAGAAGAAATTAGGTAAAGACTTGTATTTCCCAAAATAAAAAGGCTGAAATTGTGTCAATATCATCAGGGCACGCAGGGCAGAATCTATGGGATGCCAACAAAAGTTTATTCAATGCACTAACATCGATAAGATAGTTTTACAGATAGGTACCACCCCAGTTCACATTTTGACAGGAAAAAAACACGTTTTGTGCACCAGTAGGATATTTTCATCCATACCCATGCTAGTATTTCAAACCTTCTTAAACAAATACAAGACGAAGATTTTATACAAATAAAACATCATTTACAATTCATACTGAAAACAAACACTGAAAGATAAGAAAATCATTTCAACTGTTTAACATAAAAAGTGGATGAAGCAAGCTCCCCGTTAAATTCAAGAGCAAGAAGCTCTTCAACTTCCAAGAACCTACATCCTTGAAAACACAGACATGCATGGATATTTCACATAATTAATTCAACATCAAGCAGGTAAACACCAAAACAAAAGGAACATCAAAATAATAAGAAATATAGAAATCAAAGTTGGAGTTGGAGAGGATGTCATGAATCACCAGTGTCGGAAGAAGAAATAGTCAGAGATTTGAACTGGCACTCGATCCTCTGAAGGAAGAGCATCGCTTCCTTGAAGGGTTTGGAGAGCTCTTGCTCGTACTTTATCAGCATCTCACAGTACGCCTCCATGAACTGGTCCAGCGCCGGATCATCACCGATGCTAGCAGTTCCACCCGCCATATTCACCGCAGCAGATGCACATGCTTCTTCTAGCCTTGCCACCACCTCAGGCGGCGCCCCAACCTGCTTGGTACGTGTGTCAACTGAATAAGAAAACCCTTTATGACCAAATATCATGCTTGTCATTAGTAGCTAAACTAGTCATCTTTAAAGGGATTTTAATTCTACTACAACTTCTTTTTCTTTAAATATTATAATAATATGTAGTTTGTCACAAGTATAGATGGATGACTTTTTTAATAAAGGAATTACTTCTCATGTTACAGCTCAGATCCGACCTTACCAAGGAAGAGTGTTTTTCAAGTTGATTAAATTAAGCATCGTTTTCAATCACTGGCTGTCTATATTTATCTACTTTTCACCTCAGTGGGGAACGTTGGGTCAATGGATATAATGAGTTAAGGTCAAGCTTTTGTTTTTTTCCTTTCCCTCACCTTTTGACAATTGACGTAGGCTGCCAAGAGACGGTGATAGTGAGGATGGGCCATGATCTTCGCCTTCACTGCTGAAGAAGAGGAGGAGCTTCCATCTTTGTCGGTGTTGTGGTTGTGGATCTCCATGAAATACCCTAACTCAGTGGTGTTGGTGTTGTGGCTATTGTCGTGGATGCTATTGCGGTTTGGGTGGTGATTATTATTAGCACAAGGCATGGGAAGGAAGAGACTGTTTGTGTTTGTGTGTTCATTAAGATTCGGATTGGGATTATTAAGATTAGGATTAAATGGATGATGACCACCATGATGAGAAGTCACTAAAGGCATCATCATCATAGGACAAACCCCACTACTACTTGTATTATCTCCAAAACCCATCACACTGGAAGCCTCGTTAGAACCACCCTCCATTGCCTCCTCACCAATTCACAAAAACACCCATCCACACTGTTATCCGTTTACCCTACCTATTATATTCTATACCACACCACTTCAAAATTTACAACCTCAGCTTATCACATGAATAGGAAAAAAAAACTCTAAACCCTTCCCTCCTTTTTCCCTCTACCTATGCTCCGAAGATGACTTGTCTTCAGGCTCCCCCGGAATTTATGCTACAAGTTTCAGGCCTTTTTACAGAAAAATCCAAAGCAGCGATCGCGGTGCTGTAGTTGTGGTCTGTTACATGAAGTGAGTGGAAGAGAGTTGTGTTTTTTTCTTCCTACTGTGGCTTCCCTGACAAAGTCTGCAAAAATTGGCTTGGAAAAACGGGTGTTGAGTCTTTCTTATAAACCTTGCCAGCACCCATTAGAGCATTCGTCGGGCATGAGTAGAGAGAGGAAAAAGGAAAAGACACACGCATAAACTTTCTGGGGTTTGTTGTAGTAGAAGAAAAGTGAGAGAGCGGTGGATGGTGATGTAAACGGCTGAGGGAATGGTGCAAACAAAGGGTGGGTTTTACCTTCCCAATGAAACTCTCTCCCTTGTTTCCTGCACTGCACCACTGGCAAACAAAAGTAGGAGAGAGAAACACAGCGCAATTCTTTCTCAAATCTCACTTCTCAGAAGAGAGAGAGAGAGACAGGGAACGATCAAATCTAGGGAGAGCCAACAAGTAAATACTGACGATGATGGATGATGGAATAGAGGAAGAGATAGATGACACGGAATCACCCTTCACCTTTGTCCTTTTCTTCTCCCTTGGAACTATTACCACAGTAATTTTTAATTAATTTAAAAAGTGCAAAATAATTAAATAACTGGTTTGCTCAAAGTACTGTGTAACGTTACTTAGCTTGAAAATAGAGAAACAAAAATGAGTCGTGGTATATTAGTTTTCCATAATTGAGAAGTTGTAATGCCCTATTCCTGAGTTGAAGTGGAGATGATTATGCCTCCTTTTTTCTGAGTTAGAATTCAGTCGCTGTCCATAGTATATAGCATATAATCTGAGATAATTCAGTATAGAAAAAAGAGCTTGTGGTGCAGTTAAGTAAATAAAGCTGGTAAAGTTTGTGGGACAGTCCGAATGTCTCTTCCTCTCTGTACTGATGCGATGGTGTATTCTCTCTCTAGTCTGCTTTCATAGCATTATAGGTTATGTCCCTCATTATCTGGTACCCTAGCCAAATCACCTTCTGATTTTCTTCACACTGTTCCTCCCCCATCTCCCAACCCTTCACATACCCCATCCATCATTTTCCCCCTGGAAATACCTCTAATTATATTTCAGATTATTATTCTCTTCATCTCTTGCTTTTTTATTTTTTAGTATAAATCATCAGTTTTTTTATATTTGACATCTTATTCAATCCAATAAAATTATTATGTTATAAGAGATAATAGGTACAGCAAAGAATTGTGGATTACTAACGTCATGATTTCGAAGGGATGATGGAAATAAAGTAAACATATGAAAAGTAGAAGTTGATGAAGAGATAAAGTTGAATGCTTAGAGTATAAATAAGTAATAAATAAAGAAAATAAATTAAAAAAATATAATTTAATTAATTTGATAAGATATGATACTTAAGTTTAACGTAGTAAAATATGATGGTTAATATATATATATATATAGCAGATTATTTAAGTCTTTCATATTAAGTTTATTCACTCTTTATAATGATCAAGTCCAATCTCAAATTTAAGTTTATTTTACTTCATTAAACAAATGAATTTAAATGAATAATGAATGAGTTTATCCAAAATAATTTACACTCTAGTGTACAAGTATAGATATATTTCGGACTGTCATAACAAGAACACTACTGATAGGTATAAAAATTTCTTCTGTGCTGTTTTTTTATCCTATTATACAACCTAAATAAATAATTTTAAAAAAATATATAGACGAAAATGAAAAATGGTTTAGCCATGATCTATGACGTCACTCTTTCTCTTAAATAAGATGCTATTAATTTAATCTTATATTTTGTTTCTTTTAGCCTATTACTATATGAGATCCAATTATAATTATAACTAGTTTGACATTCAAGTTATATTAATCATTTTCCACATATCTTATAGCATGAAATATGGCAAAAAGTGACTAAACCAAACCCTATTCGATAACATTTTCAAAGAAATTACAAAAATTTCAATAAATAAACATAAAATACTAGATAAGTATTATAATACAAAATTAATTAGGTGCTTGTCTCGTTTAATATTTTAATTAATGTTGATACATTTTTAAATTATTAAATATAATTTTTATGTACATTTAAATTATTTTTATTCAGACACACACATATATAATATATATATATATATATATATATATATATTAAAAAGTAACAAATGTTTTTTAAATTATAAATAATAGAAACTACAGATGCATTTATGAATGAATTATTCTTAGCAATGTAAATTATAGGTAAAAAAATAATTTGCATTTAAATATTATTATAACAATATCAACACCTACGATGAAAATTTATAAAATAGAACTTAAATGTAATACTTAAACCTTTTATAAATATATTGGACATGGTAACTAAATATAAATACCCCCGTTCGAGTATTAAAACATCTGTCTCGTAACATTCTATACATAAATATATTTATTTAATTTCAAAATTATTTGATTAATAAAATTATTTACTATTTGTTATTTTATTTATTTATCGTGTATAAATACTATGTGTAGATTACAACATAACTAATTTCTCAATATAAATTAACACCATCAGTAAATTTGTAGTATTTCTCTTTTTACTATTTTATTTGTTACTGTTAATAATAATAATAATAATAATAATAATAATAATAATTATTATTATTATTATTATTATTATTATTATTATTATTATTATTATTATTATTATTATTATTGTTTTCTTAAATCCTACTTCTTTCTCTCTATTTTATTTTTTGCTTGATGTAGTTGTTACTTACTTTACATAGAAGGTGAAAATTAGATTGTAATATTTTTGGCAGCTTCCCATTTTGCGCGTGTTCCATATTTTTTGGCTTTTTTTATTGTGCCTGGCATTAATATTGTGCATCACTCCATTATCTTTTTCAAGAGCTGCGCATGAAAACTTACAAGATGTAATTATTAGTGTTTTCTATATCATGTCTTTTTTCTCATCCTTCTCCAACTTTTTCCAAACGAATACACAATTTTACAAACACATGCAAAGAAATTAACAGGACAAAAACAATACAAATATATATACAAGAATAGTTTTAGATGCATGTTATATATAAATAAATACATGTTAACAAATTAAAACAGTTTTACTTATTATAATATCAGCATGAATCATAAATTCATGGTTAACATGTAAATTTCTTCCTAATGTGTATGTTGTTCCCTAAGGAGTAGGGAGCATGTGCAAAATTGATTCCCAAATTCCTTCAACTTTTGAGCAGGGAGCATGTGCAACCCCTCTCTCTGTTTCCCCGGTTTCGATTTATGCCAAGCCTGGAAAATATTATGCTTTACGCTGTATATTTCGTATAAGCACAATATTTATTTTTTTCATATACACATAACAAAACTTTACTATAGTACTTGTCTTTTCTATATTCTCAACTAATTGGAAATTAATGTTTATATGAATTTAAAGATATTTTTATAAAAAAAATATAATTTATGATTGAATGATAGTGTGAAGTTTTAGTTACATTATTAAGATGTTATATGACTTTTTTATTATTATTATTATTGTGGCAACCTTAATTTGAATCGATAGTTGTTTGTTTTAAGGTTATTAACTAAAGATATTTAACCACTGTTAAGGGATAAGATTATGTTATCTTACTTTTCCACTTCCCTTATCCTACTAAAAATATATTACCTTATTATGAAGATCATAATATCCGTGACCCACAAAAGTTCTATCTATATAATAAGGGGCAGCTTCGGAGTTATGAATAAACATTTGAATATCTTCTTTCAATTTAAGCACTATTTGGAATATCTTTAACTATGATCTAAACATGATAAACAACTTGAGATAGTTAAGGCATTGTTTTTCCTAAGTAGCAGAAAGATTAAAAAAAGCAAAGAAATTTTTTTTTTTTTTATCCATGAAAAACAGGATTTTTAAGACATGAATTTTTTTAAATGCAAAAGAAAGAAAGTTGTAATTGAATCTTGATACAATAATTAGGTTTAATTTTTCTCCAATTTAAAACGCTCAATTATATATAAAGCAGGATCTATATATACTAAAGTTGTAACTTGTTGATTTAAATAGTTTTTTTTTTTTTTTCAAAAACTTATCCATTTTGAGAAAGGAAATTTGTTGGTTATGTTCGTAGGGCATGGATGGATAGAATCGAAAAAGTTGGAATTATGGTCGAAGAAGAGGTGGGAGGGAGTAGGAGTACGCGAATCCATCAACAGACGTCACTGCTGCAAGGTGCGAGAATGTGTGATGGAGAAGGAGGGGGTGCAAACAGTAACAGTGAGTGAAACCCTAGGCGTCTTTAACGCAACATAAACATGGTGATGTGTAATTTCCTAGAAGTTTTATTTTTGTTTTTTAAAAAAAAAATCCTTTTATATGATGTCACGTCTGTCGACAGTGCCATCGAGAAAAAGAAAACCATTTTTATTTTAATTCTAATTGAAATAATAAAAGAATGAATTGATGGATGGATGGATGCGACGGAGGGAGAAGACAGTAGGTGAGGGAGTACGAAAATGGTGCATGGATGGAGATAAACGGCGATGCAAATAAATACTTTACACTTTATATTATTCAACGTCTTGAAAAAGATGGAGTAATTTAATGAGACTTCTAGGTACATATATGCCCCATTTACAACGTGTAGTTTCTCTGTAAATAAGAACAATATAAAACATTACAAGATAATTTTCTCTTTCATCTTTTCAACCTCTCCAAACATTAACTAAAAGGAATAAATTATAATAATGTTTGTTATTTTTTTGCTTGTGCCGTGCTTCTTCTTCTTTTTTTTTTTTTTTTTAATTAAGAATGAAAGAGCGAGATGTTTTTTTAATATTTTGGGGGAACAGAATGAATTTTAGAGCGAGGGAGGAGATGAGATAAAAAACATATTTTACCTTCAATAACTTTTATAAATCTCTTTATATAAAATAAAATTGATTTTTAATACTTGATATTTGATTCTCATTATTTAATCATCATCAAATTTTTTTATATTAAAACATTTTTTTATTATTTACATCAATCAAATTAATCAATTTTTTTATTAACATTTTTTATAAACTTTTTTTAATTCAAATAACTTAATTATTTTTCCTTAAATCTATCTTTTTCTAATCTTCAAGTCCATCAAAATCAAAGTGTCTTACCTTCATTTGAATCCACAACTTTACTAGTTACAGTGGTTATAAATTTTAAGAACAAAATTATATTTATATTAAAAAGTTTGGCTCACTTTATATTTGTTTTCTTATAAAGGAAAAATTGCATAGAAAATTATATGTTAATTTTATTATCCATATTATTCTAAAATATCTTATTTCATAATTTATAATCTTATTTTTTATAATTTCATAAAATAAATTAAAATTAAACAGATAAAATTGTAAAAAAAATTTAAATCTTTTTCTAAGATTCTTCATAAAATTGATTTTTTAAAATTTTAAAAAATGTAAATATTAATTTAAACAATTAATTCTATTTTTGAATCATTCAGATTAAAGTTGATCATATCCAATTTTAAAGATATAAATTAAAGGATGATATATATATATATATATATATATATATATATATATATATATATATATATATATATATTCATTAAAAGTAACTATTGACTTCTTTGGATGAAGATTAATCAACACCAAATTTTAAAAAAAATGGTAAATAATATAGTTACAAAACAAACAAAGTGGATTTTTTTTTCTTTTATTTACCTTCTATATTTATATGACATTAAAAAAAATACTTATGTTTGGTTTAGTTGGAAAGTCGAATAAAATAAGAAAAATATAATAACAAATATTTTATTTAAAAGCTTAAATATATTTTAGTTTTTTTTTTACATATCTTTAATTTAAAAAGATAAAAATGTGTATATGTATAATAGTATGACTATATAATTTTGTATAACCTATTTATATATTTATAATTTTTATTTTTATTTTATTTTTATAAATACAAAAATAAATCATTAATATATTAAATAAGGCGTATACTTTTTCAATTTTTATGTTATTTAATTATTTACTAACAATACGTTATTGAATCATAATCCGCCAATATATATATATATATATATATATATATATATATATATATATATATATATATATATATATATATATATATATCAAGTTAGTCTCTTAAATATCCATGTTGGTTTCTTTTTGTGTATCCCGTTTTTACATGAAATAGAAAACATGTCACACTAACTAATTATCCGAAATGAAATATTGCATATTCTCTAAACACCAAACCAAATTTATTTCTGAGGGAAAAAAGATATATGATTCCTCAAACAACTAGTCGATAAAAAACATGATTTTTCATTCCATCATTATTAAGAGGAGACAAAAATATAATGCATTTTCTTGGCAATAGCACCCTAACAAGCGTTTGTTAATTAGTCTCCCTAACAAGCCTATGAATATGCGATCTCTTTACAATAATTGTTTTCCTTAAAAAGCACTCTTATACGTGTTCTAACTCCAGACATGCACACGTTAGGTTATTATCGAGTATATATAGTTATTAACACAACTTTTTATTAAACATTAAAATAATGGACAGTTTGATCACATTTGATCTTGGCCCTTGATGCGTGAAGGGATGTAAATGGTAAAATTACTCTCCTTCGTGCCGAAAATGAAAGAAAAAAAGAATAGAATCTTGACATATTTGTTTACTGAACTTGATTCTTTTGAGCAAAATCAATGATGATCGCATGGTATATTTATTGAGCAACCAAAAGTTTGATATTAGCACTGTTATTCCGAATATTTTATGGGGCTTTAAGAAGGCAAGCAACTTTTATAGGTGGTGTAATCTGCATACAAGTGTGGCCATTCAAAGAAATGGTTGAATTTGACATCAATCCCGAAGATTTGGTCATTTTATTTGCTTAATATTTTAATAGTAATTACCATCGCAAAGTTATCCCTTATCATTAATATTTTACTTTTATGTCATAGGTATAATGGCCTTTTCCACTTTGCAGACCGATTATTATGATTTGATTAAGGAGTCATTTCTCTATTCAAATCATGATAAAGTTGTGCCATACTTGCGGGAAAAAATATTAGCCGAATATAGCATGTTGGGTTCTGTTCATGGCATGTTGAGCTGCCAAATACATCTACGTTGTTCCAGTAATCTAAGTTCAGCCTAGTACTTTATGATATTTATTTTCATTTTATTAAAAAAATCAGTTAACTAGACAGTGATGACCAATCGGAGAAGATAATATAATTTTATTAGATCCCTAAGTGCACAAAAAAGTGAAAAACAAGGGAATGGCTGTTCAAATCAGAACATAATATGTGGACGACACAACAGGATTGTCGACCAATGGGAACGATCGAATTAATATTAATTAGTGGCATAATATCACTTAGGAAGGCAGATTAATAATAGAGTAGAAGATTAAACGATGAATGATTAGTGATGGGTCCAAGCTTCCCTTTGGCATTGCAAGATCATCTACGTGCCACACGAGAAGGGGGAAGCCCCCACATGTTAGAACTTACCACTCCCCACCAACGTGAGTTATCTTGTTAAAAGCTAATTTGATTTCACTCAGATGGCACCATACTAGTTGACAAGTTGGTGCTTCACATAATTGATGTTTCGTCATTTGGTTCACAATTTTCCAACATAAAGTAAACTAAAATCTTGCTTTCTCATAAGCATATTTAGCTTTTCGTTAATGGAAGGGCACCACTAGTTGATCCTTTTCAATCTCCTTTCTTAAAGATATTTTTAGGTCTTAAGATAAGATAGTGGCTATAGGCACAGTACGACAATGTTTTTATTTGTTCCACGTTGAACAATCAGTATTATTTTGTTGGGACAGAATTCCAAGTACATTTTTTGTTGTAAACACAATCACTATTATTTCTGGGTTGAATTGCTTCAGAATTTATGCTAACCACACAACACACGCGTTCATGTGTTAACTCGGAGGAAGGGAAAGTGTTGGTGAACTGAAAGTACAAAGCCTATAGAATTTATGGCTAGTTCGTTTTTCTTCTCTTGTCTTTAGTTGGTGTCATGGAACTAGGAGCAGGATTGGAGCATTGGTGCAGGAGTTAGATAGTACTTGTTCATGTTGGGACCCGAACACTAGTAACAAATGTTATCAAACCCGAATTGCTGTAAAACAAGGAATGACTCCCACACGTTGAGCAGAGAATATTACAGAATCATTGTCAAGTCTTTTTTTAGTGGCTGCAGATTTTCATCTTCATAATACTTCTTAGGTATTAGGGTGAAGTGGCTACATATATAAATATATCACTCTGCATTCTTTTCAAAGACACATATCACATCTTTTTTTTTTTTTTATTCTTATCTTGAATTTATTTATTATTTTAAGAATTTTTTAATATCTCAAAATATTTCTACTATCATACTTACTTAATACTCCGCACATAAATTTTAAAAGATAATAATTATATATTACGATTATATACACAATATTTCTCAAAGAAGTCTTTAATGACTCATAAAGTTTTATTGGTATCTTTTATCAGTTTTATACACCTCAAAAATTTTATTGGTATCTTATATCAGATTTTACATGAAACGGAATTTGGATGTTAAACTATGAGATAATTATTGTAATCAATTACTTGAACTCATCATCTTATCTCTTATGTTATCGTGTTGGTATACTTATTTTTTTATATTGAAGACAAAGCTAACTTAGAAAGATAACTATCACATAGATTATATTATATTTAATCTCTTTAACATGTACCACTTAGTGGAAGGGTTTGTGATCATTGCTAGTTGACTTATGATGAGGTGTGAAGAGAGACACTTGCTGAGACCAATAAACGAGCACCTATCGAACTGGACTGTCAAAGGAAACATATCGTTCATCCATGGAGTGGATCAAGTTGATTTGTAGTGAGAATTCATATATATAATCTATTCATTTAATTGAGTTCGAGATCTTTGCGGATAAGAATTCAACGTGCATGCTCCTGAGTTACTTGGAGTTTTTCCATGGCTGCCTTTAAAATGGTTTTCTTGTATGATTAGCAAAGTGTGACCAATCTGTATCGTACAAAGTATATGACAGGATACATTACTCTGTTACTGCTATAATTTTTTTTCTTCTTCCACTTTTAATATAACATTTCATCCTCATATATTGTTTTGAGTTATGTTGTCTTACTTTGTAGGATATGTCACCTTTTATTGAATTATTTCAAATAAATAAAAGATAATACTTAAAATTAACTAAATTAATTGGTGTTTATTTAAATTAATCAACTAATTATTTTTTATTTTCACTTGAAATAAAAAAAATAACCTAATAGATGATAAAAAGAGATGTCTTTGTTTTTGTTCTTACTGAATTACGCCATAAAAATGTTTTTATGTTGTGTGTTTATACACAGTACAGAAAAAAAAAAACTTATAATTAGGGGTAGAAGTGTGATTCATATATACACAATCGAATTGGAAAGTCAGACACTGTACTTCCAATCAAAATACGACAGTACATACTAGAAACATGCTCTTCCAAAAATTACTTTTGCAAAACAAATGGGGTGTGGGAATAGCAAGAACGAGGGTGAGAGCAACATGGTCCAATATGTATTGTGATATAACTTTTGTCTTCTTGGGAGGATCGTATTTGGGCTTAAGGAATGAAATATGTTCGGCACATTCTTTCTCCACCTCATATTTTTCCCCCTTACCCCATATATATAGGTAAGATGACAAAAATACCTTTCATCTTTTTTAACCCTAAACCTGCTTGAGACTCAATCTCTTCTTTCTTTTTCTCTGCGCCTGCACCTCATATCCGTTTCTTGTTGTTTATGAATTTATATTTTGAATAATATAAACATTTTTAATTCCTTATGCATCCAAAAATTTGTTGCATAATCACATTTCACTCACGAAATTTTTGAATCAGTGTTTTTCAAAAATATATTTTAGATTAAAAATCATAACACATTTTCGAAAAGTATAATTAAAAATCATAACTATTAAGTTCTAATGTAAAATAAATTGATAATAGAGTAAGTAGTTACATATATTTAAATTATATTATATAATATAAGATAAGTGATGTAAAACTTTTAACCTGTATTATATGAAGTCTCTCAAAACAAATAAAAGTTATTTTTGACCCATATAAAAAAAGTAACTCTTAGTCAAACACAACTGCCTCAAGGAAAAAAAAATCAAAAGGGTAACTCTTGATCAAACACAACCATAAAAAACAACAACAAAAGAATTAAGTTTTATAGGATGAAATTAGGTATTTTTGGGATTCTAACAAATAAAACATGAATTAATATATAAAAAAATATGATAATTTTTAATATAAAAAATATTAGATTACTAATCTTTCTCGTTTATAAATTATTCAATTTTATCATTTCTATTTAACAAAAATTTCAACTTCCACTTAAATTTTGAACATCATATTAAAATTATAACATAATACCAATAAACAGCCTGGAAATTCTTACATTAACAACTTTTGAGATGCATTGAAGATTAATATGCCTATTATTTTTTAGACATGAACATACTTTGCGGTTCCAACTTCTTGAACTTTATAAAGATGTCGTCGGTATACCACATTTTATTGAAAGAGAGTATTTTGAAATTTAAATTATTTAAAAGGTTGACAATTATTTAATAATAATATTATTATTATCATTATTATTGTATTTATTTAAATATATTGACTTATTAAATCTAAAATATTTTAAGTGATGCCAAATTTGTCATTTTACATTAAATATACATTTTTATGAATAGTAATTTTATTGATTATAAAACAGGCCTTAAGTGAATATGAGTTAGCGTGATAAACTCTGTACAAGTAGTGCAAATAATTTTCACCCTCGTTGAAACCGATAATTATTTTTTAAAATCAATAATATATAAACTAACAGCGTTAGCCTTTTTATACTATTATTTAATTACACATGATTATGAGTAATAAGCTTATTAAATTTTATAATGATTGTTTTGAAAATTTTCATTAAATAAAATATTTGATTGTTGAATAGAGTACAGATTTTAAATTAATAACACATGCCTATTAGTTTGTTTCTACGAATAAAACCAACTCGATATAATGGCGTATAAAAAGAAAGTAATCGATCTAAGCTACTATGGTTGGGAGATTGCCTTATATATAATTAACTTTTTGAAGAAAAAATATTAAAATAATAAATTGAAATACAGAAAACCAAAGATAAAGATAAATTGCAGTTGATAATTTAACCAGATAATAATTGCTTAATAAATACAGTTTCTATCTACCACAACTCAAACACAAGCGCCAATGTCTAATAATATACAAAACTCGTTTTCAAATTGAATTCTAATTTCTTCATCCATATTGTATGTATACCCCAAAGTTTTAAGCCACATTTTAAATCCTAACATTGGCATCCACCACCATCGCATCATAATAACCAATAAAGAAAAGGACGAAGGACTGTAGCGTAAAACAAAAAAAAAATATGGTCTAGCTAAAGATTAGTATGAACCACACTTATTTAAGACTATCTAATGATTCTGTAGCAAGATGATCATTTCAAAATCTATAATCAAATTTTGTGAAGGGGCGTTGCCCATACTACAACACACAAGTATATAATGTTGCACAAAATTCGGAGCTCTTTAATTAATTCCACGGTTCTCATGGTGGAGAGAAATTCTTATTAATAACTTTAAAGACCCTATCTCTATTCACCACAAACTTTTAACACATAAAAACAGCAAGTACCCCTCCCTCCATACAATGGAAAATTATAAAGTTTGCTTCTTTACTTAGCATTCAAAATTCTGCAACATTTGTATTAACAAAAGATTTGTTTTGGATATAGGGTTAACTATATTTAATAATTAAAAATAAATTGTTTTAAAATAAACACGCGTGGTGCAGTGAGTATTGGAATATCCTCTGCTCTCTCGGTTCCCAATTCCCAAAACCAAATCCTCTGCTGAGTTCTGACTACGAACCCAGAACGAAAAAGACAAGTTGGAAATTTTGTTTGAAAAAAAAATATGCAGCCAGGAAGAAGCGTAAGTCATAGCCCCACTTGCAGATAGCGAGAAAGGAAAAGTCAGAATACAATGAATTAATAAATAAATACATTCTGATAAAGCATTCGAGGAAGAGAACAAAACCATGGCATTTCATCACGCTACGACACTAACCAATCTAGTTTTAAATCCTAAGTTGTAGCCACAAACAGCTACCTTTTTCGGTTACACACAAACGCTGTACCAAAACATAGACTCCTAGCCTCCTTTACAAGTTTTTTTTTTTTTTTTTTTTTCAGAAACACAAACTAAACTTAGCACAACAGTAGTGGTAAACTGAATACTGAACTATTAATTAATATTAATATTAATAATAATCGACATATTATGATGTATATACGGTGGTGGTAGTTAGAAAAATGAAAAATGGAAGGAAAATGAGAAGAGCTAGTGGGAGGCTACAACGCTTTTCTTGGTGAAGAGGCTGCGCAAGGTAAAAAGCTTACCCCCAGCATTGGCATGAACTGGGTTACTGTTCCCACTGTTACTGTCACTGCGAGGGATGTTATCAGAAGCGTCACTGACACGAATGGCACTATTCTCGTCGCTTCTGCACGTCAAGTGATGTCTGTAACCGATGCACATTGGGACATTCAAATTCAAAACCATTGTGTTTGAGGTGCCCAAGCCGCCACCAAGTTTGCTCCGGCGACTTTTGGGTTTGTTGTCGTGGTTGAGAGGAGGAGGTTCTGGATTCTTCCCACGGCGGACCTGCCAGACTGGGCTGCTCCTTCCTACATGGACTCCGGCCCGGCCCGGACTGCTGGGCCACTTCCTTGACTTGGACTCTCCCGCCGAATTGCTCCGCGAGCACGGCGCGCTGTTCGATTTGCGGGTCGAGGGAGCGAATAATTTGGGTCGGGTGCCCGCGTTTCCGGCGGACCTGCTCCGGGAGAACGGCCATATGTTGATGTTGAGCTCCGCTGAAGGAGCGACGCCGCTTTTCTTCTCTTTCTTCTTAGCGTCGTTGTTGCTTTCTGCGTTTTTCTTCTTGAAAATGTCTTTCCAGCGCTTGGAAGAGGTTGCGGCGGAACTGGAGTCGGTAATAGCTGGGGACGGTTCGAGTTCCGGGTCGGGTGGTTGTTGTGGCGGTTGGGGTTTGTTCAGGAGGTGGAGAGGAAGGAGGACCCCGTTGACAAAGAGTTCATCTGCGGAGAGAATGTTGGGTTGTGGGAAAGAGGGGTTTCGAACCATCCAGAACTCGAATTCGGGTGAGGCGCAAGTGCTGGTTTTGGTTGTTGTTTTTCCGGTTGAGTGGGGTTTTTTGGTGGCCATGGAGATTGGGTGAGTGAGGCAAAGGACGTGATGAAGGTGATAATAATATATGGCGTGTTCAAGAGGTGGTGGGTGGGAGGTGAATGTGACGAGAGAAAGGAAAGTGTTTTCAACTGCATTTATTACGATGGGAAATATTTAATCTCCTAAATTTTTACGCTTATTAAAATAAATATTTTAAACTTTAAATTTTATCTTAATTAATCTTTCAATTTGTTTTATAAATAAATATTATAAACTTTCAACTTCGTCTTAACTATTTAATTTGTTTTATAAATAAATATTTTAAACTTTAAATTTTATCTTAATTAATCTTTCAATTTTTTATGAATAAATATTTTAAACTTTAACTATTTATAATTGATTCTTAATTGTTTTTAAAATAAATACTTAGAATTTTAATTTTACGTTAATTAGACCTTCTTCTTTTTTAAAATATTTTTTTCTTAAATAATTTATCTTAATTATTAATAATTTACTTATATTTATATTTTTGTCATAATTCATTTTTATTTGTTAAATTATAATAAGAAGATATTTTTAAAATAACAAAAAATAATTAAGCACGTATTTCTTTTTTTCTTTTTTTACAAAATATATAGTGTCACCTATTAAAAATGTACTAACGCAGCAAAGACAAACATGATCTTAAAGTAATAAAATAGACTTATAGAATGAATACAACTATTATTACAAAAATTTCAATGTTATAGTTCACACAAATTAACTTAGATATTGAATATAAAAATAATATAGAATTCATTAAATTTAGTAAAAAAAATTACTGTCAATTTATAATTTTTAGGTGTCAATTTATAAAAGTAGTAAAGTATATAAAACTAAGGATTAATTATAATAAACTTGAACTCAAAAGTATGTATTTACAAATAAGATAAAACACAGGGATTAATTAAAATAAAAATAAAAGTCAAGGTATCTATTTTTTAAAACTAAAAACTGGAAGGATTAAAGACTATTTTCGTGGTTATTATAATATAAAAAAGAGAAAAGAATTGGATAAATATTGAGTGGGGCTATATTTGGGGCATGGAAGGCCCATGTGTCACACAAACAATGCCATTTGGCGTATAATGATTGGTTAGGAAGAGGATAATTATTTGTTCTATATCTAATCACTCAACTCTCACGCATAGGCGCACGTCCTCCACTATCACATGCATGCTAATACCAAGATGTGACATTATCATTTCTCTTAATAAAATGTTTCTCTCAAAATTATTAATCATTAATAATTTCAGTTAGGATATATATAAATTTGTATTGAAACAAATGAATTCATTAAATAAATAAGATATATTTTTTAACTAAAATACTAAAAAAATGTTCCAAGATTATGTCATCGAGCTTGAGAATATGTTATAAATATATTTCTCTTTTCATTCAAAAAACAATATTTTAAATAAAAGAGCTTTACTATTATGAAATATAAGATAATAGTTCATTTTATCCATGATAATAGAATATAAAAGAGTGAAAAACTTGAGTACGAAACTATTTAGACTTGATATCATTTAATTTAAAAGCTGGTATCATTTAAACATTTATTATGATATAATTAAATAGCTGGTATATACTGTTTGAGATGGACATCCTCAGATACCAACATGTATTAATAATTGTGTGACTGTGTACCATGAAATGAAAAGGACGCTGAAAACACGAGTCCTCTTGGTCGTTACGTGTTTGCAGATAACAGAGAAAAAGGTTGAATCTGAATCACACCACGAATGCATCATATATTGTAGAATAATATCATGAGACTAGGGAAAAATGGAAACCAGAGTGCCCAATTGATGAGTGTTGACTTTCATCCCTATTATTATTACAAATGAAATGATGTTCGAATGGAAATTTTCATCTGCATTTTCAACCTTGATGACTGGCAAGGTAGGTGAATTTCTCTTCTCCTTGCGATAATATTGTTGATCTAGAATTCAAAATTTCTAGTTGTTATTCAAATATGAATAGAAAATTTGAAGTGGGTGCTGTAATTTATGCGTTCAATAAAATCCAGTATATAAAACAAAACAATGATTAAATTCTGAAATGGGGACATGGGATGGGGTGGAGAAAAGTTAAAAGGGATGGATGCATGAAAATGAGACGGTTATTACGGTTGTCATGTAGTGGCATAGAAGTGCCTAAGCAGAAACCCGATCGTAAATGGGCTCCAGCTAAAGCCCATTGGTTTCGAAAAATCTAAAGTGGGCCCCTAGCTAGTGGACACCGAAGTGGGTCCCACCTAAAGGATATGATAAGCGAGTGGGTGGAAGGTAGTGTGGGGTGTGGGCCCAGGGGATTTACTCCACTTGGGAAACGAGGATGTCTAGATTCTCCCTTGACATTCAGAGTGAGTGTTTCATCTTAAAACATGGCAGAGGCGCCAAAGAATAGAGTTGAGGGTGTTAATGGCTATTGTTTCTTTGGAGACAAAATCAGAAACCGTGTGATGTGAACCAAACAACCATTTTACACTATCAACTAAGACTCATAATTTTGTAATAATAAAAGTTTATAACGTTGGAAGAGATAGAGATAGAAAGCAGTGATAACCATGCCTGCTTGTTGATGTTAAATATGAAACGACTTCCTAGTTTCAGAAACACTTGGGGAACCATAATTGTCTCCAATACTCTCTTATCGAGGTTCTTTTTTTAACAATTTTTCAATCAAATTGCTCAGTTAAAATTAATTATTGTGTAAATTAAAAGCTAAAAATATTAACAACTTCTATATTTTCTTTATACATAAAATAATTTATTTTAGATAATATTTTGTACTCATTAAGAATCATATTTTTCTTTTCTTTTTAATTTTGTGTATAAGTATATATATTTTCTTATATCAACTTTAATCTAAATAATAAGTTTATGGATTTTATTTTCTTATATATTATTCATCCCGTTCGATCCTACCCAACATGTGACTTTCTTTCCTAGTTAATTTCTAACCATCTAAGGAATTGAGATTAATAAATGAAGGTATCAAATGCTCATAACAAAACATCCTATTTTTTTATACTTTTATCAGAATCTGGTCATGGACCTCATACTTTTGAATAATACTATTCTTAATTACTTTTAAGGATGAAAATTTCACAAATTAATTCGTAAATCTCCTAATCCAATTATCCGTTCTTAAAGAGATTAACCTAATTCATCACTTAATGGAGGCATGGTGTGGCAATAAATGAGAAAGGATGATCCCTCTCTGGATATACATTAGGCACTAAAAATGAGGAGAAAAGGAATAGAAAATGGAAGAAGCAAAGCTAGGTATTGGAGACAGGATAGGACAAAGGACCTATATATGCCTTGGGAGCCTATGTTGGAGGACATGGCTCCCAAAACTAAGCCTTGGTCTTCTTCAATTGCCTCTCTCGATAATTACGCTATTGACTTTGATGCTCACTGTTACCTCTTTCTTTCTGATTCAATTCAATATTCATTTCTTAGGGTTGTTTGTTACGATGTGATGGTCACCAACCAACTATTTTAATGGCCATTAAGGTCACAACCAGTTATCATTGCTCCCCTACCTTCGGGGCCAAAATGGCCAAATCACATCTTTTTTATTAACCATATCGGGAACATCAAACACATATTTCATTTGTTCATTTCAATCGTTTCAAACGACTTTGTTACTACTAATTTTCATCCTTAATTTTGTTCTTTCAAAATCATTGTACTTCCATGTTTCGTGTTTCGATAATTAGGATGTAATGTTTCAGTATCCACTTTGCTTGCACTGCAATCAAACTCATTTGTTCAGTTTTCATAAAATTTACCCTCTCCATGTTAGTAAAGACTAAGTTTTCTATCAAACAAAATATTACTAAGTCCTAAGTTTATTAATTTGTATTTTAATAAGAACGATCACAATTAATTATGCGGATCGATCCATTTTCATGTCTGAAAGATTAGAAAATATTGAGTTGATTATGTTTGATTTCGGTTTCAAATCTTCCTGTGTTTAGAAGGTAAAATATGAGACGAGTAATGTAATTTTTATTTTGTTTCAAATTTATATTTTAATTTTAATTTAAAAATATTAATTTAGGACATAATATTATAATATATAATAACAACAACATTATAAGTATTATATATCCATTATAAAGAAGAATAAGTGATTAAATATCTTTTTTACGTAGATATTTATAATAAATTAAAATATATATTTATTTAATAATAATTAAAATTTATAAATATTAGTTATGTATAAAAAATAATACTTACAAATATAAAAGTTATAATTAATTTTTTAGATATAATATAAAATGAAAACACTCAAAACCTAACGAAAACACCGATAAAAACTTAATTTATAATATTAACAATAAAGTTGTCAAAATCAACAGTCCATTTATGGATTAAGTAAACAAATTTAATAATTTGACTTCACTTATATTTTAAAACGGGTCATAATATTTATTTTAGTTTAATCTTATATTAGATTAATGAACTACTAGACTAATTTTAATCTAATTAAAAATAAAAAATTATTAATATATTTATAAAAAAATTAAAAATAAAATAAAATATAAGATATATTTTTAAAATTTAAATTATATTAATAAAATTAATTTTTATTTAAGATATAATAATATAATATATAAATTATAAGATAATAAATTCATTCAAACTTAAAATTAGAGTAAAAATTTAATTTTTATTATCATAATTTATTCATTTAAAATAATAATTAATTTTATTAAAATTTAAAATAAATTATTATTAAAAATTAACTTTGATATTTATTTTTCAAATAATTGAATTTCTTATTACACTAATTTACTATATATTTTTAATAAAATAATATTATTTTTATTTTTATTTAAAAAATAATTATTATTTTATAAAATAAATTAACTCAAAAACTTACTTGGTGTACCCCACATAAACCATAATTTAAACAAGTGGGAACAAAATAAGTAAGTTACAAATTTTTTGAACTAGAATCTTTAATACATGATTATTAAACTAAACCTATTTTTATATTCATATAGATAATAATAAGAAACAAGAACGAAAATAGTTAAAAAAAAAAAAAAATCGAGGTCAGAGAAGGAACCCCTAACACCCCGTTCTAGTTCCTACAAATAGTTTTGAGTTTATGAATAGACTAACGTGGTCCCATTAAATCTCAGTTGATCAATTTTCTATTTCAATTTTCCTTTTATATTATTTTCATGTATTTAAATTTGTCAAATTATGAAAAAATGAGAAAAAAAAATGAAGGGTTTTAACTTAAGGTTATTCAATCATAAAGTAATGTTTGTTTTAGCTTTTATCTTTATTTATTTATTTTCCAAAAAAGACAAAAGGAGACTATTTTCTCTAAAATAACAAATTAAGCATTTGTATGCTTATCTCAGTATACAATGTGGTATTACATTTTAACAGTAATAGCGATAACTGTATTATAGTAAATAAAATATGTAGAAAATAAATTTGTAAAGCAAAACCATAAGTATATTATTTGTTTTTTTTTGAAAATTTGATCAATTTCGAATTTTTTTTTTTAGGTTCTAATCAAATTTCGATCAACACTAGTGCAGAATAGGGCTTTTACGTCACCCAATTGTCGTTGCATGCATGTATATTCGACGTAAATAAAACGCGGTGACAATTTTGTAAATATGGGACAAAAATTTTACGTCGCACATCCCAGTATGCGACGTAAAAGGCCATCTTTTACGTCGCGCCCTCCAGGTGCGACGTAAAAGATGACTTTTTACGTCGCGTGCTGGGATGCGCGACGTAAAAAGTCTATTTTATTTCCCTCCAGACCCACTTCCTCGTCTCGCGCAATCAGGGTTTTTGAGAACGACGACGAGAACGACGACAACAGCTACCTCTGCACACCATTTTCGAGCAGTTTTACAGTGAAAAACATCTACATTATCGTGTCATTTGACGAACTTGATCTTTCTCCCCGATTGGATTCGAGTTTGAAATCAGTTTTCGTCTACACTCGAGGTTAGTGTTCTATGTCATTGCTATATGTTTACATTGAATCCGTGATTGTTTTTGGGGATCTCAACCATGTTATAGTATGAATGTCTCCACTTGGATTGTTATTGGAATGTAATTATTTGTTTATTTGTTTGAGTGCATTCGGTTTACACACTCCATTATTGTTGGAACGTGCTTTGTTGTTTGTATATTAATTTTTTTTACATATAATTTTTAAATCTCTAGGAGTGACGAAACTTTATAACATAATATGAATCGAAGTTGGATGAATGCACGTCGTATTAGTGAAGAGTACGAAAAGGGAGTTGAGGAATTTTTGAAATTTGCTAGTGAAAATGGAAAAGCTATGAAAGGGATATATTATTGTCCATGTGTTCGTTGTTTGAATCAAATTCGTCATAAACTTGAGGATATACGTGATCACTTGTTTGTTTATGGTATTATTAAGAGTTATACAATATGGACATGGCATGGAGAAATATTAGACATCCTAACTGTGTCAACTACAGACAATTTTGATGAAGGGATGGATGATAATCTAGAGGATATGATACGTGATATTGGTGAAGAAAATTTTATGAAAGCACATCTATATGATTCTTTGAAATTTGATTTTGCACAACAATTGTACATAGGATGTAGTTTTACAAGATTATCAGCAACTTTAAAATTGTTTACTTTAAAAGCAAGAAATGGATGGACTGATAAAAGTTTCACCGAATTATTGAAGTTGTTGAAGGAGATACTTCCTGAAGATAATACATTACCTATTCGTAACTATGAGGCAAAAAAGATATTATGTCCAATGGGTTTAGAGTACAAGAAAATACATGCATGTCCTAATGATTGTATATTGTACAGAAATGATTTTGCTAAATTAAAGATGTGTCCGACATGTGGTTTGTCGAGGTTCAAAAACAAAGTTGAGGAAAGTAGTGGTGAGAAAGAAGTAGATGGTCCCCCTGCTAAGGTGTTATGGTATTTGCCAATTATACCTAGGTTTAAAAGATTATTTGCCATAAAAGAAGATGCAAGAAACTTGACATGGCATGCAAATGGTAAAAAATGTGACAATCTTCTTCGACATCCAACTGATTCTCCACAATGGAAAAGGATTGATGAAACCTTTCCAGAATTTGGTGCAGAGCCAAGAAACTTGAGAATTGGATTAGCTACAGATGGGATGAATCCTTATGGAAATTTAAGTAGTAAACATAGTTCATGGCCAGTTATGTTGATCATTTACAATTTGCCTCCTTGGTTATGCATGAAGAGAAAATATATGATGTTATCTATGATGATTTCAGGACCTCGACAACCAGGAAATGACATAGATGTATATCTTAGTCCTTTAATTGATGATTTGAAAATGTTGTGGGAAATAGGAGTGGATGTATTTGATTCATATCACGAAGTGAATTTCGGGTTGCGTGCAATGTTATTTTGTACTATAAATGATTTTCCAAGCATATGGTAATTTGAGCGGTTATAGTGTGAAAGTCATTTAGCGTGTCCTATATGTCAAGAAGACACAAGTTATATCCAATTGAAACATGGACAAAAAACTGCGTACAATAGGCATAGAAAGTTTCTAGTTGCTAATCATCCATATCGTAAAATGAAAAAAGCATTTAATGGATGTCGGGAGAATGCGATTGCATCGAGTACCACACAATGGTGAACAAGTATATGAGCAAGTGAAAAATATTAATATTGTGTTTGGAAAGACCCAAAAGAAATCCACTCGAGAAAAACATTTGGAAGAAACAATCTATATTCTTCAATCTTCCTTATTGGTGTAAGTTGGAAGTTAGACACTCGTATAGATGTGATGCATGTTGAAAAAAATGTTTGTGATAGTATAATTGGGACATTGCTTAACATAAAAGGAAAGACAAAAGATGGAATAAAAGCAAGACAAGATTTGGCGTGACATGGGTATACGTTCCGAATTACATCCACAATCGGTTGGAAAACGCACTTACTTACCTCCAAGCTTGTCATACTCTATCAAAGAAAGAAAAGAGAAGCTTTTGTGAGTGTTTACGTGAGGTTAAAGTGCCACAGGATACTCCTCAAATGTTAAGAGTCTTGTGTCTATGCAAAAGTTGAAATTAGTTGGTTTAAAGTCTCATGATTGTCATGTGTTGATGCAATAACTTTTACCAGTGACTATTCGAAACATCTTACCAACTTCTGTTAGAATTGCTATTACTCGGTTATGTTTGTTTTTTAACGCCATTTGTAAAAAGGTAATTGATCCAAAAAAGTTAGATGAATTAGAAAATGAAGCAATTGTAATAGTGTGCCAGTTAGAAATGTATTTTCCCCCTTCATTTTTTGATATCATGGTGCATTTGATAGTCCATTTGGTAAGGGAAATTCGGTTATGTGGTCCAATTTTTCTTAGATGGATGTATCCTGTTGAGAGATACATGAAGATCTTAAAAGGATATGTGAATAATCAGTATAGGCCAGAAGCTTCTATTGTGGAAAGGTACATTGCAGAAGAAGCCATTGAGTTTTGTCAAGGATACATGTCAAAATCAGAACCAATAGGTATTCCTAAGATGAGACATGATGGAAGATGTGAAGGTAAGGGTACTCGAAATTTGAAGATTAAAAATGTTAGTCGGAAAGAAGTTGACCAAGCACATTTATACATATTGAACAACACCGATGAAGTAATCCCTTACATATCACAACACATAACCGAAATAAAGGCAACACATCCACGAATGAATGAAAAATGGGTATTGAATGAACATAATTCTTGGTTTAAAAAAAGGGTATATGTTGAGATTAATGCTTCGAAACACTTTTGAGACTTGCTCGTGGGCCTAATAGTGATGTCATTACATTTGGTGGGTATGACATTAATAACTATTGTTTCTACTCAAAAATAGAAGATGATAAAGGTAGAGTACAAAATAGTGGGGTCACAATTCAAGCTGAATCTATGCATTTTTCTAGTTCTAAAGACAAAAATCCTATCACAGCTTCTATGAGTTATTTTGGGGTCATACAAGAGATATGGGAAATTGATTATGTTACTTTTAGGGTGCCTGTCTTCAAGTGTAAATGGGTTGAAGGGAATACGGGTGTGCGAACAGATGACCTAGGATTTACTTTGGTTGATTTGAGTAAAGTTGGGTATAAGGATGAACCTTTTATTTTGGCATATCAAGCGAGACAAATATTTTATGTCAAGGATCCATGTAATGAGAGATGGTCAATTGTCCTAGAAGGAAGAAGCATGCACGGAATTCATGAAGATGAGTCTCTAGATATACATGAAACACCTTCATTTTCAAGTAGACCATTTGATGACATAGTTGACAATGAAGTTGATGACATACATGCAATTCGAAGTGATCATGATGAAGGGATATGGGAAAATATACCAACATAATAGGTGTTTATCTTCACATTTTCTAGTTCTTTTTATTCAAACTTATAAAGTATGTTGACTTCATATTGTTTTGTTTTTCAGGATATGTCGGATTCCACTGCTGGTACTGGTAGTGGTAGTGGCAGGAGCGGAAGTGGTGATAAAGGTAGATCTGTCACTCGGTTAAAGGGGTTGACTTTATTCATGTTGCATGCTTACAAGAGTCAAATTCATGTTTCAGGTATTTCAAGATCCATCTCCATTACCAGAATCTGAGATTACAGAAATTAGAGAACAATGGGCAAAATTTTTTGTTCAACAATTCTAGTACATTATTTTTTAAGTTCTTGTTCATATTATATTGTGTGTATTATGTAGTTTAGTTTAGTTTGTATAGGTAGCTTAGTTTGTATAGGTAGCTTAGTTTGTAATAGATTTTTTAGTTTGTATGTTTGTATTATATTGTTTTATTATGTAGTTTGAATTATATAATATTATATTTTTAATTTACTAGCTAAAGAAAACTGAACATCTGGATTGTCTGGTTGTAATATTTGCAGGTTTAAGTTGTAAAACAGAATAAATAAACCCAATTTAAAAAAAACAGTAAATTTACGTCGCATATACCAATATGCGACGTAAATTTACGTCGCGTATACCATATGCGACGTAAATTTTCTGTTTTTTTTTTTTTTAAATTGAAAAGGTTT